TACGTACTCTGTTGCTGCAGCAAGCTTGTTCAAGTCTTGTTGTGTTTGTACCTCCTCCTGGGGAAGTCTGGCTTGAAGTTGAGAGATCCAGAGTAGGGAGATTCTTTTAAAGAATGATGCTCAGGTGGCGGCTTTAACCACCCATGTCATCGCTTGGTGGGTCCTGCAGAACGTAAACTCCCATCTCTTGTCGTCGGACTTCAATATCTCTGCCATGTCTCCCAACACTGCGATCGGGGAGAAGAGGAATCCAAAAGGTTTGTCTACCTTTGGTACCTCAAGGTCCTCTGACTGCTCTGGTGTTGTGCTGAACAACTTCTTTTCTATTCCCCCGGGTGTGGGAAAAGTGCCCGAAGATGCCCATTGTTTCTTAATGGTACTCCAGAAGAGTGTCGGATAGGGAATGTGGTGTTGGGCTACCACGGGTTCTAAGAACAATGGATCTGAGCCGGGTAGTGGTTCTGGTTGATGGGTATGGTACAGGCCAATGTTTGCCGCTGAGCTGGCTCTGCGTAACAGAGGTAGGAAAAAGGTAGGGTTGAATACCCCTCCGAATGGAGGAGGGTCTGGGGGAGGGTTCTCCTCCTCCCACCGTGCTGGTCGTCCTTCATAGGGGAGGATTCCCTGCTGTGGAAGGACTGTGATGGGGAGGAGGAGCCCTGGAATGCAGCCTCCTCTGTTTGGGATTTGGATGGGGCCCTGTCCATCACGGATTCGGTTCTCGGTCCGTGGTTAGGTCTAGCCGTCATCATCCTGTGGAATGTCTGCTCAATTAGAGTTTGTAGACGGTCCTCGTAGGGGTTGGTCTCGGGTTCCACCCCCGAGTCCTGCTGCTGTGGGTGTGAACGTGGCCTCAGGTGTGGGTTCTGTGGCCTGTAATGTAGGTGGGCCCATATCAGGCGCCTAGGGGACACCTCCGGGAACCATACTCCGTGGGTGGAAGGTCCCAAGAGGAGATCAAAGGAGTTTCCTCTATTTGTTCCGCTTTTGCTTTGGCTTGCTTGTGCCTTGGAGAATTCCCTCTCCAGGGCCTAGTGTCTTCTGCCTGTCTCTCAGCCAATGTGGAAGGTGTTCTTCCAGAAATGGACTTTGTTCCTGCCTGCCATCTCCTGTTTGGAGGATTTTTGTCTTTTGCGACTGGTGGGATGCTCAAGGGTTGAGACACCATGGGCTCCTCCATCCTGGGTGAGCTATCTCAGCGACCTGAGAGGGAGTTCTGGCAAGGGATCAGTTAGCGAGGTGGCAAGCAGGTGTAACAGGGAGTGGTCGTCCTGCTCTCCTGACCATCTGACTGACAAAGGGACCACTGCTTTCCCACCCCTTTGGGGTCCGGTCCTTCTTGCATCCACCCGGTTGCAGCGGGTGGTTCTGAAATAATGGGGGGGGGGGTACGGTCAGGGTAACAGCACACCAGGGTTGGGCCTCAAGCCTTTCCTTTCTTTAAATTTATTTTATTTGTTCTGCTTGGGGCCCCAACTGATTACGTGTAAAAAACAAATCCCGGTGTAGAATCAAGTGAGAATGGAAGGGGTGGGAGGGGGAGGTTGCTGTCTGAGTGCGATCGCTATTGTGTTTCTCCTCTTCCCTTATCCAGCGAGGAGAGAGGGAACTGAAGAGGCCAGGCAAGGCAAGGGAGAAGAAAGGGACAGAATAGGCTGTTCCCTCTTTGCCGTGGAGCCTTAAGCCTCCACTTGACCACGACCTGTAGCTCTCTCAGCAGAAATGGAGTAAGATGGCGGCCGGGATGCTGTTGGGTGTCTAAGGAGAGAGACGGAAGCTACAAACCTGTGCTTCCTGTCTCTTAGTGGGAAAATTGATAGAGGAATGGAGAAGGCGGAAGTCCCTTCTGGTGCCTCCACAGGTCCCGGTGCCCCAAAATGGCGACCTGCACCAGAGATCTAGCGTAGCCCTGGCGACTGTGTGATTCGGGACTGCCTTAGTGTCTAATTGGCTTGGACCTCAGCTGGCGTGTTCGCTGCAGCTGCAGCTAGTGCTCAGCAGACTCCCTTGCTTAGGAGCTGAAGAGAGAATTGACGGGGAAGATCCCCACCCCCCTACGGAGACACGGAGAGCTTCAGCTGCAGCGTTGAGCCACAGCCAGTGCTCAGCTGATTCTCCCTGCTTGAAAGCAGAAGAAAAGAACAGACGGGGAAGCCCCCGCCTCTCTCCGGAGGTGCAGAGAGATTCGGCTGCAGCGTTGATCTTATGCTAATGCTGGGGATTCCCCTTTGGAAACAGATTGTACAAGGGGTTGTTTAAGGAAATGTTGAGCCTGAGAGCGTTCTCAGGACTCCGGCTGCAACTTTGTTAGGAATGACTTACTCTGCTCAGCTGGACCCCAGGTCTGGGGAGGGAAGGCACCCCCTAACCCAGGCCTTCCACAAGTTAACCCTCGCAGCGCTGGGTTCAGCGCTGTTATGGTAGCTGTGACGGAAATGTTAGAATCCACCAATATTTTATCTCTATTACCCGCCTTAGACCGGGAGCCAATCTATCACACCCACCTGGACTAAAGAACGAGTCAAGAATGGGGAGTGGCTACCCCAGGATGGGCGTATCAAGTTGGCTGACCTGGTCTAATGTGCAGGAAGGCAGAGTTAACCCATTGGTGGATTCTACGTCTCCAGTGCTGGAGAAAGTCTATGATCAATTTTTCCTCTTTAACTGTCACATTCATGTTTTCTATATTTATCAATTTCAGATTAAAGAAACCTGATTCCTATCTTAGCATATAATATGCAAAGCAATAAAAATATCATATACAGTACATAGCAGTATATGACGTCCACTTCTCATGTGAAAGAGGAAAAAAAATCTGCCATGAAAAGCATTTATTAAAAAGACTATGAATTTCCTCATGAAATCCAAGACTTTCCTGAGTTCTTTATAGCTCTCAAGGAGATACTAATGTTGCCTCAGTGGAGCAAGACAAGATCTGCACAAGTTTTGAAAGAACAACCTACTACTGAGCATAAGTATGAATCTGTCTTCAACCAGTTCCATCTATTCCAACATTATCACAGAATTGGAAGAGATACTTAGACCAACTCCCTACTCAGTGCAAAATTTGCTAAATTACTTTAAACAGAACTCTAACAGACAGTTTATTCCATAGTTTGACCACACTGTCCTTTTTTGCAGGCTATATATATCCAGTGCCTTTAATAGTTCCTCTTAGAACTTAGTTTCAATTGCCTTATCATCTTGGTAGCCCTCCTCTGAACTCAGTTTATTCTTTCTTTACAGAGACATTTGCTTTCCTCCAGTCTTCTGAGTTCTTGCTAGATCTTCAGAAGTTCACAACAATTATTCAGAGTTAATGTAATCACCTCAATATGTAATTCATCTAGTCTTTGATATTTGAGTTCATTTAAAGTGGGTAAATGTTCTTTTACCCTCATCTTGCCTAGCTTGTGTTGCAGCTTCCTCCTTGTATTAGTGGCACAAAAGTGGTCAAGCAGGGCTTTATTTCCTTTCAGAAAAAAAAGCATTGAAAATAATTATGATATTCTGCATACTCATCTACTTTTATTCCATTCCTTCTTCCCCACAACAATTCTACATCTTTTTCTTCTCCATAACAATTTTACATCCTATTTGCTTTACTTTTTGTTTCTGACATGCTCAAGAAGGCTCTTTTTCACTCTTTGGACATTTCTAACCTCAGCACCTCCCAAGTTTTAATCTTTCTTATACCATCTTCATATTTTTAGGATCCTCTATCATTCTTTGGTTACATGTTCTTTTTCCTATTGTACTATATTTGTTTGTTTTTTTTAATATACTAGCAATGCCTTTTTTTTCTATTTGTGGTAGAATACCAGAAATCAAATCAAGCTTCTATCAGTCATGTCCACTTTGGTTCAAATTTGCAATGAGTGAAACTGATAGGTAGCAATATTAGGAAATTTCATTTTGCTTGCAAAATTGAATCAGTGAGATGAATATTATTAGATTCCTCCTTCATGCAGCTAGTAGATTTGAGACTCAACACCCAAAACCACAGGATTATCTTTTTCTCCTTAATCTTATGGCATGTTGAAACCCCCAAATGTGGAAATAAGCTATTTAAGAGTACTTCAGGATTTCAATCTCAATATTGAAAACAATGGCTTTGTAAGCTCTTTTGTTATAACTCTATCAGTTATTCAGATTATTGTGATTTTAAATCCTGTATTTTTAACGTAAAATGTGTTCTTTAAAATGTTGAAATCAGCAAGCACGTGAATTGAGCAAGCTTTAAGAAAAGCCATTCAGTTTTCTTTGCTTCAATACCACAAATGCAAACAATGATGCTTAATGTTCAATTAGCAATAGAAAATATAAAACAGACAAGAACACCATAAGCCTGAAAAGCCAAGATTCCAATCTTTTAAAATTGGAATTACTAATATTGTGAGAAAGCGAATTGCAGCTGTTGAATTAGTAACACAACTTTGACAAGTGATATCCTCAAAGTTGAATTAGTTGCAGTTTCTCGCCAATTGCCTGGTTGTAATTGAATGATCTTTTAATACTTTTATTCATCCATGACACAATTTGTAGATTCATATATAATTGTTATTTTGTCCAATCAATATAGATCCCATATTTACTGCTCTTAAGTCTGAAATTTAAAATATTTTGATTTTTTTTTAAAAAAAAACCCATTAGTCAGGCAATTATTACTGATAGTTTTCAAAAATTAAGTTTGAACTGTTGGTAGCTACAACTGATAGAAGTTCTCATTCTAATATCAGTGAACATCTAATTTAAAAATACTCTTCTCCCAGAAAAAGCTTGTGATATATGATATGGAGCAAGATTTCACATGGCCCAGAAGAGAACAGTTATGTAACTAAGAAATTTTGGGATATTTTATTCCCCTACTTGGCAAATAAACAAGGAGAAGGAAGAAGATACTAAAATGAAGATATTACTTGATGACGAGAAACCTGCACAATGCAAAGCTCTTCATGCATACTTAAGCATGTATGCTTTCCATACTTAAATATTCATACCTATCCCAGAGGTTCTTTGATTCCTGTAACTTGTTCGAATGAAACACTTGGTAGAAAGTAGTTGAAGGATTCCTATGAGAGCCAGGAAATGAAACAAGATTGAAAATGAACAATCTATTTTGAGTAAAATGTGTTCTAGGTTTAAACATTTAGATAAGCTAGGTTCACAGTTTAGCAGATATATAATAGATAATAGAGAAACAGAGAGTGTGTACAAAATATATTTCTTAGAGAATCTTTTTCCTTACATCATTTTTAAAATGTGTCAATCAAATGCATCTAGGATGCTTATAAGCAAAATACAATGATAGTTTTTATGATTCACCTAGCCCTGATATTTAAATGGCACTATCTTCTAAATGAAGTGTTGTCTTTTATCACCATGCACTGATAATATGAGTACGAAAGACAGATCATGCTATAGAAATGTGAACAAGGTAGTTTCTACAACTTTTAAACAATGAATTTAAAGACACACAGAGGAATGGGAATCCAAACATAAAATCTTATGCCATTAACCAGAACAGTTCATATTTGCCAAGCAAGTTATTCATGTGTGATTACCTGGAATAAAACCACATCCACCTTTCCCAATAAGTAATTTTCTCAAATTATCAAGCTCAGGCTTAAAAAAAAAAGAGGAAAGTCTAAAAAAATAAGTTCTAAACTGTGATCATTCAACCAACTGGTGCTATGTGAGCAAAAATGAGATAGCACAGAAAAAGACTAACAACCTCCATGCTTCTAAATACAGAAGCTGGATTAGGAATAAACTCCCTTTACCTGAGGATAAAGGTGAGAGAGAGGCACACATCCTTCACAGAACTTTGATCACAAAAACAGGACAACACTATATTAGAAAGGCAAGAATACTGTATAACTATTTAGGAATTAATTTTATACGCATTTCAGCTTGTAGAATGATGGATTTAAATGGAGTGCCAAAATCTGAAATAATTTTCAAATGGATAGCAGAAGTGTTTTATCAGTAACTCTCATAATATCTGTACTTAACGGAGCCAGGGCAAGGAACTCTTTTCTTAACCATTTACTATCCCATAAGGGAAATCTATATTTTCAGTTGCAATCTGACGAACAGATATCTTAGCTTAAAAAATATCCTACCTTACTTATGAAAAATCACACAGAGAAAAGACCTGTTTTTCAATAGCCAAATTTTCAGTGGGATGATATATAAAATTACTGATTAAAAATTACATTATGTTGCAAAAACTAAATCTTGAATTTGCGTAATTCTTCTTTGATCAGATGTTGAGGATTCTCCATTTTCAATTCCTGCAGCCTCTGGAATTATTGACAAATTGGTACTACTGATGGCCATGGTTTGTGAAAACAGAAAATTTCTGACTATAAATTGTGAAATAAATTTATTAATTTATTTCCATCATTATACTTTAGAATTTACATGCAGTACATGTAAAATAGAAAGGAAGCAGGCACACAAGAACCTGCTGGAGCTTGCTCTTGTAATACTAAATCGTAATTTCATATTATATTTGAATGTTGACATAATTGAATACCTAGCCATACCTAAGGAACTATTGCATACAAAATTCAAGATAATTATCATACAAACCAAAAACAAAATAGAAACTATTATAAATCTCACAAATGCAATTTATGTCATATAATGGAATGTTGCCATTTTTAATTAACAAGGACTACATATGTATTTTCTCAGGAAATACTAGTTTGCAACAGAATCATTAGCATCTTTCTACAGTTTTCCTAGACAACTGCAGTATTTGGTTAATATGTAAGTGTAATTTAATGAATTAAATTCAGATTAAAAATAATTCCTCTCTCTCGTCCACAGTATTATTATTCTACATTATGGGTATCCTTTTGACTTGCCTGAACTTGCATTGCGTGAATGTATATAAATCACACAATAATGCTAAAAGTTTACAATCTTGTGGGGCTACATGCAGTTTGTGGGCTGCGGGCTGCACATGTCTGTTCTACATAATCAATAAATATTATTTGTTTGAGAAGGTAAAATCTATAAGTTAAACCTTATCAATATATTCTGATAAAATCTTGGTTAGGTAATATTACATAAAGAGAAAAATAAATTTGATAAATTAAATAAAAATATTAAATACAGAAAATAAATTAGGGTTAGTTACTTCAAAAGAGAATTATAGAATGACTGAGATCTGTAATACTGTATAACTTAGCTGCACATAGCTAAAATTAACCAAGACACTAAGCTTCTTAACAAGAAGAAAACCTCACTGGGTAAATATAGTAAAACACTCATGGAACTAAAACAATTAATAAAAACTATATAACATTATGGTACATATTTTCTTACAGAGACACTGATTTTCTGAAAAAAAAAAAGAATCTGAACATTTTGTATTTATGTAGTATTCTTACATTATATTCTGTGGGAAAGAGCAGACATTTTAAAGTGTTGTATAAATCTATTTTTTTACATTTCCAAAACAGTTTAATTGGAGTATTCAGCTAAGAAATATTAGGTTTAGTTTAATATGAAGGCATAGAACATCAACTTTACTTTAGCATCTAAGATATTTGCACCTAAATGTGTTCTTTGGAATCATGATCTGCTAACTTTTTGAATAGAATGTCTTGCAACTGAGTAAGATAAACACCAAGGAACAGAATGGTAAAGTATAATAGATACAGGACACTTGAAAATAAAGTTAATATTCCAGTAACACAGTAAAAAGTTATTGCTTCAAGGATATGAAGATTTTTTTTCTTAAGACAAAAAAAAATGTCCAACTACTATGAACAGAAGGAAGTTTATTCAAGCAATATTTGTTCACTCTTTTAATCCAAAAAATGTATCTTCAATATAGGAAACATGGAGATACTCAGAATGGATGACTCAATTACCCATAATCTCTCCAAGGGCCATTGTAAAGTTCTATCACACTCAAACAAGGGGTATCTCTCCAATTTGGGACAATTCTGTTCCCATCAGTTAAAGAGGGCTATTTGTGAAAAAGGCAAGTGTCCTTATATTAACTTTTATCTATCTAATCAATTATAGTAAATTTGTTACTATTTTTAAAATACATGGCATATAATTACACAGAAAGATTTAGGCACCCCCTCCTGAAGAAGGCATAAAGAATGACTCTGAAAGAGAGCGGGGAAAATATGTTACCAAGGCAATGATCAGAAAAGCATGACTTGAGCCCATTCCACAAAATAAACATAAGAAACTCATTTCCTAATTCACATGAAGATAAAAGTGTGAGAAGAGAGAAGCACATTCACACTTGCAAGATTCTACAGTATTACTATGGCTATTCTAATAAAAGTAGTTTTAGATCTATATGGCATTGGTTTCCTAGTTTGGTCTACCTTACTGGACTGGGATCAATCTTGAAAGTCTCTTATTCTTTCTAGGGAGGCAGTAGATCTCAGTATTATTCCTGGAGATAATTTCCAATTCTTACAAAATGCCATGATGCAGCTAACACAACATTTGGACAGAATTTACCTCAACCTGCAGCAGCCTGCAGCACAACCAGTATTTCTGCATTCTCATGAGAACTTGCCAGAAAAATTTAGAGGAGACCAGGATTGATTCCTGACTTTCCCAACAAATATGAACTATTTATGGCTCGCAACACAGCAGAGTTGCTCAAAAATTGTACCAAGATCACTTCTGTGCTGAATTTATTATAAGTAACAACTACAACTGGCAAAGGGAGCATATACATGGACCACAGACATGCAGGTAAAAGCGGACAACCACGAGGGAGGAGTACAGGCCAGGCAAGAGGCGGCCAAAATTGCGGCTGCACTGCTGATAGGAGTCTTCGGCCTGCGCAACGATGGAGGCCTGACGTTCCTGGCTTCCACAAGGCGTGGCCAAAATGGCGGCCATGCCTATTGGCTACCGTAGAAAGGTGCGAAAAACCCAACGACAATGGCTCCGTGGCAAACGCGTGAGCCCTTTGCTGACTTCAGAGGAGAGGTGTGAAACTGCTGCCGATGACTCTGCGGTAATTGCATGAGACCTTTGCTGCCTTTGGAGGGAAGAGGAGCAAAAACTGCCACCAATGACTCCGCAGCAATCGCATGAGCCTTCCCTTCCCTCGGATGGGCGCTCAAGGAGGTAAATGAGAGTGCGGCCTCGAAAAATCCCCTCCCCCTGGGTATCCGATTGGCAGCCGTGCTCGCCCACGGTAGGCAAATTGGCAGCCGGAACGATTCGACGCTAAGCCAGAAGGAAAACCTCTTGCAGCATCCCTGGCGAGTGGGGAGAGATTGGGCTGCAGCGCTGAGTCCAGCGCTGAGCAGCCGAAAGGGAAAAGCTCACTCAGGGGGGAGCTGAAGCCTCAGCAATAGCCCCAGAGCCCTGGGGAAAAACCACCCCCTAAGCTTCCAACAGACGATCTCAAACAGCGCTGATCCCAGCACTGTTGAGATGGCCGTGGATGCAAAAAGAAAAGGTAGAATCCACCAATGGAATTAAGCTCTACTACCTGCAGCTAAATTGGGAGCCAAACTTGTCACATCCGTTTGGGCTGGAGACTAAGTCAATACTGGGTCTGTCCTAGCCCAGGAGGGGCGTGGCAAGTTTGGCTGACTTGGTCTAATGGGCAGGAAGACAGAGCTAACCCATTGGTGGATTCTCCATCTCCTGTGCTGAAGAAATGCATATTCCATAACTAGTATGCCAATCATATTGAAGACATGAACTGTCTTCCATTACAAGAATGGACAAATCACAATAGGATTAGTCTCACTTCTATGAATTATAGTGGGCCATAGAAATGACAAGTAGGAGAAAGGTAAAATATCTCTGTTGTATCTACATTCATGATGAAAGAATGGAAAGAGGAGGGAACAATTAGCAGAACAGGAAGATGAAGAACAGCCTGTGCAACAGGAAGGGGAGGGAATTCAGGGCACAAAAGAGGAACAGAATTTGTTAAGTGATCTGGAGGAACTGCTGGCAGAGAAGGGAACAGCACACCTGCATTTCATTCTCATGGCTCGACTCTGGAAATGTGGAAAAAGGACTGAGGCTGACAAGAGAAGGGATGTAGAGGGCAGACAGA